CGAAAGCTTATGCTCTAATAAATTTGTTAGTCTCTAAGGTGCCACAAGTACTCCTGTTCTTCTTTTAACTTAACAGTGTCCCCTTAGTGAAGGTGACTGTATTTAGTTTAAAATAATAGTGATGTCAGTGGTTTATTTTCACTATAAGCTCATTTTTCTTGTTCCAGTTGTTACTTAATTTTTTTGTGACGGTACTGCAAACTTTCTGTCATATGCTTACATGTAAAGGCAAATAAAGCATTAAGGTCAGGTTGAAATTGCCTCCTTTCTGCACAAGGCTTGAATAGGCAAGCTTTGTGTGGAAATACAGAATTCCATAAAGCCCATCATGAGGCCATGGGGCTAAAACACAAGCCCTCCACAGTCACTGTACCAGCCTGAAAGCTTGAAAAACAGCTGTTGCTTTTTCTGTGCCTCTCAATGGGAAGTTTGGGCCACTGGATATATGAATATCCTGTAACCCCATCTGACCTTACAGGCAATATATTGAGCCAATATGGAGAGCCTCCTGCAAAACCAATCTGCCCATACCTCCATCTGCCCTCAAAGGGGCAGTGTGTATGGAGGACCTTTGCTCAAGCCCTCTGTACCTGGGTGAACTTGAATTTGCATATACTAAAACAAAAATATCTACAAGTATTCATCATAAGCAAAGAGTTATCATGGTTATAGACCTGATACTCAGAGTACCTTGTTACATTATGGCCAGTACTTTCAAACTTAGTTACATATGTGTCTTGATTCAGAGGTGCTGAAGTCAATGATTATTTTGGGTGCTTGGCACCTCTGTTTGGTATAAATTTTAGGTGCTGAATTCAGGCACTCAATTGAAAATTTTGGTTAACATGTTAAAATTCCAAGGTTTGTATGTGGTGACTTTTCTGGATAATATGGGAGGTGGGGGGGAACTATTGGGGTAAGGTAAAATTCAAACATCTTAATTTGAGAAAGTTAGCTAAAAAGCAAAGTGAATTTATCACAAAACATTACTTGTAGAAATACGTCCACATACTAGTCAGTTCAATTAATCAAGACCCCATTATGTAGCTTCTGATATATTTAATTGCTTATTTACAAAACTAAATTCAGATCAGTTAAAACAATTTTGCTTGTTAGCATCTCTCCCTGCCTTCATATTCTGGCCCAATCACTGTATCCCTAAATCAGCTACTGCATATGCACTTGTGGTATTTCTTTAAAGTTAAAGTTTAGTTGAACTTCAGTTCACACATCTTCATAATTCAGTGAATCAAATGCCTTTAGAAGAGAAAATATATTATAAAGAAAGTAAGGGGTTAAAAAGCACTTATGCTCATTCCAAAGTTTGTTTTTTTTATATGTACTCAGGTTGTTTGTTATCTGATTAAAGAGAGAGTTATACAACAGATGGTGGAAGAATTATATAGGGAAGTGAGCAATAAAATTCTAAAAAAATGTTACAAAGTCCAAGCCTACATTCTGAAAGAAAGTAATAGTAGTGAATGTCGCTTTATTGTATCCTTACTTCTTACAACTGTTTTTTAAATAAATTGTTATGGGCCTTATCCTACACTCAGTGAGGTAAATGAAATTTTTGCTAGATTGGACTCCAAATAAATACTTTCTTTGAAATTAAAATCCTTTTGACACTAAAAGATGAATATTGGATCAGTACTGACTAGAACCTCAAACAGGTTTATGAAGGCTAATAGTTTAGCTGTTTTCTTCGTTTACTGCACAAAATTTTTGAGCAATGCTATTTAATGCAAATGCTACTACAAAAGCTGTAAAACACTGGGTTATGCAGTTGTAAGAAAATGAGTTGTTTGCTAGAAACCTTAAATCGCAGTTACAAGATCTTGAATTTTATAAAGATTTTAAAGCTTTGATTTTTACATATAATGACCTTCTTCATAAACATACATAACAGGAACTGTATTTTGCAGACAAAAGCAATATATTGAAAAACACTTTTTTAAAACTAAGTGCAATGTTTTGGTCAAAATTAAAGCATTCTTTATAGTTCTCTTAAGGGATATTGCAATAAATAAATCTTAAAACCCAGCTTATGGAAACTCACCTTGTACAAGAGAAGCCAGACATTTGCAGCAGAATTTAATAAAGAAATCCCATGTGTAATCCATTGTCCTTCGGGGAAAATTCAGGCTAAGTCCTTCATTTTGTTCCTTATGTGGAAACGTCATGTGAAATCAGTTAAATATTAACATGAAATGTTTTCATTTACTGGTTAGTTCACTTAACTGCATAATATATTTGTTCTGCAGTAGCCCCTTTAATATTCAGAAGCAGCAATGTCCTCTAATGTAATAATGAAAGAAAGCTTCAGCTTCTCCGGATTTGTTTTGTCATTGCTCTGACGCAGCCTTTTAAGGAAGTAAAAACCAGTCTGAGATCTGTAGAAACTACATTGTAGCGGAGTATAAATAGTATTCTATGTCTTTAACCTCTGGGTTGCTATCACAGCACTATGAACGATGTGGAAAAAACCTTATGCTTTTCTTAACTCTTTATCTGCTGAAACTTTCCAATTTAAGCAGACAACTGAGTATAATGGAGGGGTGTGTTCGGATTTCCATAGCAGCTTGAAGTTTAAAAACAAAACAAAAACCCTAGAGAACACATTTCCATTTCTTTGCGTTCTCCTAATCTAAATATTTCCCTTCTGCTTTTATAAAATTTAACACTTGTTAAATAAGTAAAAAGATAATAGATAAGCCCCGTAGGGGCTGAGGAGCTTTTGGTTATGAGAACTGCCTTGAGAGAGAGAGAAATACTTTTGTGTTTTGTGTATTTGCAGTCTAAAAATAGTATGTGTGAGTAGGTCTACAGTTGCACATTTGTCACTTTGATTGAACAAAAAGTCTGTTGGTCAGAAATAAGTACAGAGATGGCCTAGAAATATCTTAAGGAGCTGCTGCAGGCACTCCAAAAATGAAAGGCGCTGACTTCAAAGGAAACTCTGTATACAGAGTTGCAGCATAGGGTCCTTAATAACCAATAGCACTATTGTTTTAGATGCTGTAATGTATTAATTATCACATCTCTGCAGTGCATATTGTATGTGCTGGATGACCTTTTCTTTCGTAACTAAAATAAGGTGATATTTTATCTCTAATTCATGTGCATAGGGCTTCATAAAGGGATCCTATGGAAATGAACTGCAGAATTCAGATAGTATCTAAATCATGTTTCTGTCATTTGTTTTTACTGTTTCTCTTGTTCCCTCCCCCCAGAATTTAATCATTTTACCACCCAGTTAATTTTGCTGAACAACCTCCTTGATGAACAGTTTGGAAGAATTATATGTTAAGACTTTTGTGGTGTATTTAATCCTGTACATGATATAAATGACAGATGTCAGCCTCCTTGAGAGACACTCTGGCAGTCAGTCTTGCCAAGGCTCTTGGTTTTTGAAGTAGTGTTTTGTATTGACCTAGAATTGAAGGTTGTGCACCCTGTGCAGAGCTGGGAGGGGGGCTCCTATGTAAGATTGACACACGTTTTTCTCACAATACAGATGACATTCAGGCAGGCTGGTTCAGCACAGTATTCTTGGAGGGAGTGTTCTAGTGGTTGTCACTGTTGGGTGATCTGTTTAGTCCTAGGATTGACAAGTAAAGAAGACCACTCCAAAGAAAATGCTTCTCCCTAGAAGTTTGTTCAGCAGGAAGAAGTTAATCTTATCCAAATATATTTTCAGATTTCAGCAAAGAGGTTGTACTTAGAACTCACTTGGAGGCCACTTCAGCCATCTGAGGGCCTGCACGGAAAAGGGAGTATCTTCTCCTGTGTGACTTAAGGTTACCGCAGAACTTGAAACATTCATCAGGCACTTATCAGCTAACAGTCTACTAGCCAAAGGGGCCAATAAAAAATGTGAGGAAATGGGGACCCACCAGGCAGATCCAAGAGCAATATCCTAGTGAGAAACACAGCCTACTTCTTCCCAGCTGCCATGAAGGGGAAGATGCTGGGATTATTACAACGGTGTTGACCGCAGACTATTCTTGAGGATCTCTTTTGCATCAGCCTCTGGATGACAAATTTGAAGCCTCTGCTCTTCCCCTAATTGCTGTTTTCTTGCTCCTCTCCCTTGTCTTCCCCTCCTCCCCCAATACATCATGAGGTTCTGTGGGCAAGGATTGACTACTCTGCCATCCCTCCTGACTCCTGCAAAAGTTGGGGGAAGGAATTAAGTGTGTCAGCTGTTCCTCCCCAGCGTTTTTTTTCTCCCCTTGTGTATCTCCACTGCTTGCCTCTATTACAGATCATACTTTTAACAAGCCTATTTGGGTATGTCTAAATAGCATTTTGGAGCAAATCGGGAGTGAGCCTCCTAGACCAGGTGGATATACATATTGGAGCTTTAAAAATAGCTGTGTAGACAGTGCTTTGAACTTGCAGCTCAGGGTGGCGCTCAGGCCCGGAAACCCACCCACTTCCTTAGGCCTCAGAGCCCAAGCTTCAGCACCAGCCACAACTTCAGAGTGCTGTGTATAAACTATTTTTAGAGCACTAGCAAGAGCCTTGCTAGGCCAAGTTTGTCAACCCAGGCTGGGAGGCTTGGGCCAAAAGACTGTATAGACAAACGCTTTAGGATTATGAAGAGCAACTGTGAAACCGATGAGAGTCTTGTTGATTTCACTTTGTGGCTGTTGAGGAAAACTGAACAGAAACAAGGGACCAAAGCGGTCCTCTGCAGACAGCAGTGCATTAGTTTACAGTTAGAGGGTTGTTTGCAACTATTAAGAACTAGAAACTCTGGAGGAAAGTTTAAATTCTACAAATTAATAGCTTAAAGTGTCTTTTCTCCTCTTTCCTCGTTACCCTTTTTCTTTCACCTCCATCCTGCCCCTACTTCCCCACACACTGAGGAAAATGAATTTTTCAATACTTGAATTACTGTTTCTAATGAATA